TGAAACTAATAGAAGATTTCAGCAAACTATCAGCATACAAGATAAACATACAAAAATCAGTTGGATTCCTTTATACCAACAAAGAGAGCTTCGAAGAGGAAATCACCAAATCAATACCATTTACAGTAGCCCCCAGGAAGATAAAATACTTAGGAACAAATCTAACCAGAGACGTAAAAGACATATGTAATGAAAACTACAAGATACTACTGCAAGAAACCAAAAGAGACCTACATAAGTGGAAAAACATACCTTGTTGATGCATAGGAAGACTCAACATTGTGGAAATGTCTATTCTACCCAAAGTGATCTACAGATACAATGCAATCCCAATCCAAATTCCAATGGCGTTTTTTAAGGAGATGGAGAAACAAATCACCAACGTCATATGGAAAGGAAAGAGGCCCCAGATAAGTAAAGCATTACTGAAGAAGAACAAAGTAGGAGGCCTCACACTACCTGATTTTAGAACCTATTATACCACCACGGTACTCTAAACAGCCTGGTGCTGGTACAACAACAGATACATAGACCAATGAAACAGATTGAGAATCCAGATGTAAATTCACCCACCTTGAGCAGCTAATATTTGACAAAAGCCCAAAGTCTGTTTATTGGGGAAAAGACAGTCTCTTTAACAAATAAATGCTGCTGGCATAATTGTATATCTATCTGCAAAATACTGGAACAAGACCCATACCTCACACCATACACAAAAACTAACTCAAAATGGATCAAAGACCTAAATATAAAATTGAAAACTATAAAGATCATGGAAGAAAAAATAGGGACAATGCGAGGAGCCCTAATACATGGCATAAACAGAATACAAACCATAAGTATCAATGCGAAACATCAGAAGAAAAACTAGATAACTGAGAACTTCTAAAAATCAAACACGTAGGCTCATCAAAAGACTTCACCAAAGGAGTCAAAAGACAACCCACAGACTGGGAAAAAAATTTTGGCTACGACAAATCCAATCAGCATCTAATATCTAAAATCTATAAGACACTGTAAAACCTCAACAACAAAAAGACAACCCAATTAAAAAATGGGCAAAGGATATGAACAGGCACTTTGAGGAAATGCTCACGATCATTAGCCATTAGAGAAGTGTAAATCAAAACTACAGTGAGATACCATCTCACCCCAACGAGGCTAGCATTAATCCAAAAAACACAAAATAATGTTAGCGACATTGTGGAGAGACTGGAACATTTATACACTGCTGGTGGGAATGTAGAATGGTACAACCACTTTGGAAATTGATTTGGCACTTCCTCAAAAAGCTAGAAATAGAAGTACCATAGAATCCAGCAATCCCACTCATTGGAATACATCCTAGAGAAATAAGAGCCATCACACGAATAGATATGTGCACACCCATGTTCATTGCGGCACTGTTCACAATAGCAAAAAGATGGAAACAACCTAGGTGCCCATCAACGGACGAGTGAATAAACAAATTATGGTATATTCACACAATGGAATACTATGCAACGATAAAGAACAAGATGAATCTGCGAAACATCTCATAACATGGGTGAATCTGGAAGGCATTATGCTGAGTGAAATTAGTCAGTCTCAAAAGAACAAATATTGTATGAGACCACTATTATAAGAAGTCAAGAAATGGTTTAAACACAGAAGAAAACATTCTTTGATGGTTACGAGGGTGGGGAGGGGTATTCACTAACTAGACAGAAGACAAGAATTATCTTAGGTGAAGGGAAGGACAACACACAATACAGGGGAAGTCAGCACAACTGGACTAAACCAAAAGCTAAGAAGTTTTCTGAATACAACCAAACACTTCAAGGGACAGAGTAGCAAGGGTGGGGATCTGGGAACCATGGTTTCAGGGGACATCTAGGTCAATTGGCATAACATGGTTTATTAAGAAAATGTTCTGCATCCCACTTTGGTGAGTGGCAGCTGGGGTCTTAAAAGCTAGCAAGGAGGCAATCTAAGATGCATCAGTTGGTCCCAACCCACCTGGAGCAAAGGAGAATGAAGAACCTCAAAGACACAAGGAAAATATTAGCCCAAGAGACAGAAAGGGCCACATAAACCAGAGACGTCATCATCCTGAGACCAGAAGAACTAGATGGTGCCCAGCTACCACCAATGACCGCCCTGACAGGGAACTGAACAGAGAGTCCCTGATGGAGCAGGATAAAAGTGGGGTGCAGAACTCAAATTCTAGTAAAAAGACCAGACTTAATGGTCTGACTGAGACTGAGGGCTCCTGGAAGACATGGCCCCTGGACTGTCCTTTAGCCCAGAACTGAAACTATTCCCGAAGCCAACTCTTTAGACAAAGATTAGACTGGACTATGGGACATAAAATGATACTTGTGAAGAGTGTGCTTCTTAGCTCAAGTAGATACATGAGATTAAAGGGACGGCTGCTGTCCAGAGGCAAGATGAGAAGGAAAAACAGACAGGAGCTGGGGAAGTGGACACGGGAAATCCAGGTTAGAAGGGAAGAGTGTGCTGTCACACTGTGGGGAGAGTGCTGGGGTCACATGGCAGTGTGAGTATGTGTTTTTGTGTGGGAGACTGACATGAACTGTAAACTTTCACTTAAACCACAATTAAAAAAAAAAAAAGTCCTATGGAACACAGTTCCACTCTGATACACATGGGGTTACCATGAGTCGGAATCTACTCGAGGGCAACTGGTAATAGTATATAATGTAATTTGACCCTAATATATTGAGAACGTTTTCTTTGGAATGGGCCTCTCTGGCCTTTGAGTGAGGCTTGTTGCTTTTTCTTCAGGATTTCTCCAGGCCTCGACCACCCCAGAAGGCACTGCCGGCTAACCCAGTGCCGGGCCGTAAGACCCTCCCAAGGCAAGGCGGCCCCTCCACACTGCTACCCTCTGCTGCTGGCCCTCAGCATTCCCGGCCGCTGGTAGCACCTGTCCCAAAGGTGAGTGCATAGACGCCCTCAAGGTTAAAGCTAGCTGGTGCCAGAGGGTTCTGGGCGGGGAAGTATGTGTTTGAGAAAACAAACCAGTTCATGCTTCCTGTCTGGGGTGAATTTCCAACACAAAAGCCAAGGACAAAAGTTTAGCGTTTCTTGGTGCCCAATTAACTATCCCTTAACTTAGTAATAGAGTTTTCCGGTTTCATGTGAAAGATGATGCTTAGGAGCCTGAGCTACGGAGACAGACATATGAGGCTTCAAACTTAGGAGGCTGGTCTCCTAAGCAGCTGAGTGACTCCAAGCAAGTCACTCTCTCGATTCTCAACTTCCTTAACTGTAAAAAGGCAATAATAAGCAACAATAATCAGCCTCCTAAGGTTGGTCTGAAGGTGAAGTCAGTTGATTTACACAACTGCCTGGCATATGGTAGGCAGTGCACAAATGGCAGCTCTTATTAGTTCTTTTCTGTGGCTGACTTATTCTTAGGTTGCCAGTCCTGGGAGGTAGGTCAGAAAGAGATGTGGTGAGGAAGCTGGCTGACAGACCTGTATTCCCACAAGGCATTGGGAAATCTGTGGGCTGAGTTGCAGCTTGAGCGGGGAAGGAAGGAAGGCGGAGGAATCCTGCAACTTGTGATGGGGAACCCACCATGCCTCTCCCTGAAGGATTGATACAAGCGTTGTCAATCTTTCTTCTCAATTGACATATCTGTCAAAAGTGAGAGCACAGCTCTTCATGGATCCCATGTGCATTTAGCTGATATTTTTCTCCCTCCCTTCCCTTCTTTTCCAGTTTCCTGAATACAGATCACAGAGGGCTGGGGGAATGACTAGCTCGAAAATCTAGACCTGGTTAGGGGGTTTCGCCCTTTCCTTGAGGACTCTGGATACCCCAGAGGGTCCAGTGGCCATGGAATCTGGAAGAAGCATGTCTGGCCACCCCCGAGCTCCTCCTCCCTCCTCCCAGAACCACCGAATCTCCGAAAATCTCCTTCTGGACACATCGCCTCCTCAGCTTCCTCAAAGGCCCAGAGGGACAACTGTCGATGGAATCTAAGTGTTGTTTTGTGCAATATACAGCCCAGGGTGTGGAGGGGAGAGCACAGGGGAGGGTGAATAACAGCGTCTCCCTCCAGCCTCCCTTCTACTGGCCCCTTAGCCCAGGGATGGCAATGGGGATGGTCGAGGCTGTCTTGAGCCGGCAAGCCCAGCTGGGGAAAGTCCTGTTCAGCCCTCTGGCCAGGACTTAGCCTGGAGAAGCCATGTCCTATGGGGGAGGGCACACGTGAGAGTGTTCCATTACCTGCCTTCCTGAAGGTCTCAGGCTGGATGGAGGCTGGGCACTTGTGCATCCTTTTTAGCACCGGGAACCAGCCACTGCTCGGGCCCTGCCCAGGTCTTGGTTGAGTGATCTGAGGTGACAGCTCCTGGCTTTGTGGCTGCATGTGAACAAGTCAAGTCCCCCCCCTCCCCCCACCTCACCCTGTGCCTCCCCTTTTATCCACACGGGTCACTCTGACTCACACAGGTACTATTTGTAGGCAACGCAGACAGCAGGGGGAGCACCAGGCTTGGGCCTCCTCTGAGCCGTAATGCCAAAGGTTGTGACTGTAATTCTTGGTTGCTCTGTTTTCGCTTCTGCACTTCCCAAGTGCCCCATGCTTTTGATTTCTCCTTGGCCTATCAGACCCTCTCTGATGCGCGGTGCTTTGGTGAGTGGATCCTCAGCCGTCCTAACTTTCTGGAGACCTGGTGCTTGTGACCTAAAAGTCAAGGTCCTGCCTCAAGGGTTGGCAGCTTGGACGTCCTGCATTGGATCCCAAGATTGTTCACCGGAGTAGACTTGGGGCATGACCATGAGGTTTACAGCGTTATTTTTCATTATGTCTTATGACCTCAGTAGGGCCAGGGTATTTCTCCTTACTCCCTGACATAAACCTAGGCAGAGCCCACCAAGGAAGACAACAGGTGTCATGAAGGGAGCAAACATCCTAGGAACCCCAGCTATAAGAAGTCTCCCTAGTGGTCTGGTCACTGACTTGAGGAGGGACCGTTGCCCTCTGAGCAGAGAACGGACCTGCCTCTAGCCATGGGGTGGGGTTGAGATCCTGAGAAAAGGCAACCGTCAACATGGCTGCCTTTTGAACAGCGCTGGGACTACCTGTCCTCCCACCCCGCAAACATTTTACTTTCCACTTCCTTTTGTTCTCTCCTTCTGTTCACTGTTTATGACCCTCAAAGGTCTGAGCAGATGGGGAATGTACTCCAATGGATGCCATTCTCCTTGGAGCAGGGAGGGAGGGCTGTGTGGGCTGTAGGTGCTCTGCTAGGTGTGACGATTTCCATAAAGAAGCTGGAGACATTTTCTGGGTGACTATCTCCCACCCTCAGGTGCTGGGTGGCCTTCCAGAGGGAAGCTGGCCTGACTTTCACTCCTTCCAAGGGTTTTCAGGGGCCTCCTTACCTCCTGCAAGAAGTTGTTTGCTCTTGGGAATTTCAACAGGAAAAGATGGAGCTTTTGGCTCCCCAGCCACCACCCCAGGGCCTCCTTACAGTTCTCTGCACACAACAGGTGCTTAATAGATATTCTTGGTTTCATAGACAAGTGGAAGATACGAGATATGCACCTGGGGATAAACATAGGGTAGATTTAGAAACATCTCAGGACAGTGAGTTTCTCTGGTGACATTCATGCCCCTGTCTCCCTGACAAAGGCTGTTCTTGCTCCCCGTACCCAACCTCCACCTTCCTTACTGCCTGATGAAGTCAGAGGACAGCCTTCCATTTAAACTGCTACCCCAAATGCCAGATGCCTCAAAGCTGGGTCCCAGAGAAGTAATGGTAAAAACATCCACATTCCCCCCAAAATCACCCTTAAGCCCACCCCTAAGATGTTCCATTGGTTTGTGCGGCTTTCTCCCTCACCTCAGCAGCTGGTGGCTCTGCAGTGAACATGTGGCTGCAGAGCCTCCTGAATCTGAAATGCATTCTCCCTGGAACCACACAGAAAAGAGATCAGGGTTGGCTTTTTATTGTTGTTTTCACATGATTTTAACACCCCTCCATCCCATAAAATTGTACTGTGAACTGGAAGACGGTCGAAATTTTTGAATTTGATAGGGACTTTTGGCAGCTGGCTCTACTTACTGTTTCACTCCTGGCTCTGCTCAGGGAGCCGGGAATCGACAGTTCTGAGGACCAGGGAGGCTTCCCTGGAGGAAGACGGGCAGTTATAATCCTCTTTCCCCTCCTGTCCAGTGTGCTGCGCTGAGGTGTCCAATCAAACGTTCAGACTTGGTGAAGGGGGGACTTTATCTGAAAGGATTATTGCATGGAGGAGAAAGAGAGTATTGCAGTAGGAGAAGGGGAACTATTGCAATAGGGAGACTGCTCAGATCACAAGATCTGACAGCTTCTCAAAGCTCATGCAGAAAAGGGATCTTCGTTTATCAGCAGGTAAACAAGTCTAGGAATAACTGAATTCAAGGAATGTGTTTCTTGTGCTCAGCCTTTTTTGGGAGCGGTTGTTGAGGGTCTGTTAAAAATCAGCCATTGAAAACCCTATGGAGCACAGTTCTACTCTGACACACCTGGAGTTGCTGTAAGTTGAAATTGACTCCATGGCAACTGTTTTTTTTTGTTTGTTTGTTTGCTGGCTTGCTGGCTCAGGCTGAGGGTGGGGTCGAAGTGCAGGGTCCTATGGGGATGAGCAAAGCTTAGCTAAAGTTGAGTCAAGTCCCTTAACAAGTACTTTGTTCTGATGCAGATATTGTAAATCTTTTTAAAAGCTAAATAAGCCTCTTGCTAGTTTTACAACCCAGGAATGTTTGTCTTAAGAGCCTTGGAGCCATGTCTTTGAAATGTAAACCTCAAGAGTGATAGCATCCTTATGGCCCTGGTTTAGCCTAGGCACCTGGTTCCAAGTTGGAACTACCTGCTTGTCGAATAAGTTCTTTCTAGTCTTATGTACTCTTCCCTACGAACGAAAAAGGAACCCTGGTGGTGCCGTAGTTAAGCACTCGGCTGCTAACCGAAAGGTTGGTGGTGTGAACCCACCCAGTGGCTCCATGGGAGAAAAACCTGGCAATCTGCTCCTGTAAAGATTTAAGCCTAGAAAACCCGATGGGGCAGATCCGCTGTGTCACACGGGGTCTCTGTGAGTCGAAAATCAACTCAGTGACACTCGACCACTACTTGAAAGAAAGGCAACAACATAAAACTTCTTTCCTGCCCGAGCTCTGAGACACAGATTTAGGGTTAGAGCATTCTCCCTATTTTTCAGTCATCCCTTTCCACAGATTGCAGTAGCTCATTTTCCTCTCTTGCAATAATCCTTTTGAATAAAGTCTCCTTACCTATGTCTGCATTTGTTTTTGACAGAGGGTGTACACGATTTGCATTTTTAAATTGGAGAGCAGTTCTAAAGTCAGTGATTGGGTCCATATGTATATATATAACAGCTCTGCCGGGCACCCAGGAAAGCCGAAGGAGCACCAGCTGGAAAGGTGCCCTATTCCCAGGGAAGCTGGCTAAGGAGAGGTTTTGCAGAATCCAAGCCAACCACCTCCAAAGTAACCCCTCGGTCCACCTTCCCACACCGCCCACCATGTGTACGTGTGTGTCTGGGATCCAGGGCAATGTGAATTTTGTTTTTATCTGGGAGATTGTTCACAGAAACATCCTCTTCTCTCTTGTCCACCTATTAATTGTTTACAATGATATTTGTACATCTATGCAAAATACTTGAATGGGCCGTTGTGCCTTTTTTCCTTGTTTGTATTTAATTAAAAATAAATTGTCATTTGAAATGGTATCTGGTTTGGCAGCTCTTTTTTTTTTAAATGTCCCACTACTGAGACTGGGGAGCCCCGGTGGCACAGTGGTTAAGAGCTTGGCTGCTAACCAAAAGGTCGGCAGTTCGAATCCACCAGTTCCTCCTTGGAAACCCTATGGGGCGGTTCTACTCTGTCTTATAGGGTCACTATGAGTCAAAATCGACTCGATGGCAACAGGACAGGACTGAGACTGGATAGAATCCATTACATGTAGACTCCTCAGGAGGAAGGAGTTCCCAGCAAGACCATCAGTCCAGTCTATAAGGCCATTATGATGGATTTTTAGCCATGGAAGGTGTTCCTGGGTGGTGCAAATGGTTAATGCGCTCAGCTGCTAACTGAAAGGTTAGATGTTCAAGTCCACCCAGAGGAGATTCAGAAGAAAGTCCTGGCGATCTACTTTCAAAAAAATCAGCCATAGAAAATCCTAAGGAGCACGGTTCTACTCTGACACACATGAGGTCACCATGAGTCAGAATCGACTCGACAGCAACTGGTACTGGTTAGCTATAGGAAAAAACCGCAAAACCAAACCCATTGCCGTCAAGTTGATTCCAACTCATTGGAAGGACTATTTGGAACAGTATTGTTCCTTGCTTCAATAAGTATCTTTTGAGTGCCAACTATGTCCTACACACAGAGGATAAGCTGTAAATAAAAAACTCTCATGGAGCTTATATCCAGACAGGGGAAACATAGATCATAAGAAAATAAATGAACAAAGTAATATCAGACCATGCAGTCGGGGACAAGTGTAGTCCTTTGGAGACACTGTGTGCCCTGGTGGTTGAGAAAGTGGGCTAGGAGCCAGACATGAACTTTGACACTTCCTGGCTGTGTGACCTCAGGCAAATTACCTAACCTTTCCCTTTCCTCATATATAAAATGGGGATAAAAATGTATCTTTTGGGGGGATTTGTGAGGATTTAAAGACAGAATTCATGTGAAGCACTTAGCACACTGCCTGACATCTAGTAAGGGCTCAAGCATTAACAAGGGATTAATGTCTTCAACTGACTCCATTCTAAAGACAGTTCTCCCACTCCAGGGAGGAAGTGGCTTAGGAAGGACTTGTGGGGACTTTCCTGACAGCCACACCCCTTCAGAAAGTCCCTGGATGGTGCAAAAGGTTAACATGATTGACTGCTAACAGAAAAGTTCGAGTCCATTCAGAGGCACCTCAGAAGAAAGGCCTGGCAATCTACTTCCAAAACATCAGCCACTGAAATCCCTACGGAGCACAGTTCTACCCGGACACACATAGGGTCACCATAAGTCAGTCAACTTGATGGCAACTGGTTAACTGGTATACCCCTTCAGATATGAGGGACCAGCCCTCCAGCACTAGAGGGACCAGTTTAATCACTCTGTGTCTAAGGAAAGACAAGATGCAGATATCAAGTAAACACACTCCAAAGTCTTTATTCTTGACCCTGCAGCCCATACTCAGGGCCCTCAGCTTATTTCCTTTCACAAGGTCCAACATGTTGCATTGATTTTAGTTACAGACAGAAATCCACATTGATTAAAAACTGGCAACTTGAGGCTGGAGGTACAGGGAGCCTGCCTGTTGGTCAGCCGAGCCTTTGGAGCCCCAAGGTCAACAAAAGTTGGGCCTGATCCTGGCTATGCTTAGGACCGGGGACGTACACACAGGGCACAGGTTAAGTGGTAGCACAGGGGAGGCTCTGCACCAACTGGAGGGCTAAGGATCTAGTCTTCCCTCTTCACAGCTACCCTGGCTCCCTCATTTCCCTTACCAATGGTCCTCACACCACCGCTCACATTCACAGCTAGAAAGAAGACGGGAAGGGAAGGGATATCTCTCTCCAGCTGCTCTCGCTTTTTGGATGCCTCTGGCCAAATGTGAGGGGACCAAAGGCAGTCCCCACAGCAGGTGGAGTTGGAGCAGTCATGGCACGCTGCCTCCAGTGTGGGCAGCTCATCAGTGAAGGTGGGGACTTGGTGGCAATCTGGTCAGCAGCCAGAATGCAATTCATGCCAAGACTGTGCCCCCACTTGGTCACTGAGGCTCAAAACTGATTCCATCAGCCAAGCTTCTGAGTCTGTAGCCAGAAATTATCCCAGAGCCCCTTTGCCAGGGTTCTTGGCTGGGTGCCAGAGTAAACACGAAAGTTAGCCCTTGGTTTCCAGAGGGCCTGTGTCTGCTTTCTGCCAAACCCTGACGTTGCTCCTCACACTTCCTCCCACCTCCCCAAATCATATTTTGATTTTACTCCTTGAGGAAAAGGAAAGCGTATTCTGGCAAATTCTGGCTCAACAGCCAGGCCATTTTTAAGAGCAGAGCAGTTGCTCTTTTCTTTCCAGAGTAAGGCAACATGAAACACTGGTTTGGCCAGCAGACCCTGGCTCTGAAGCATCTGTTGTTGTTGTTTACTTTTGGGTTCTAAGATCACTGCCTGAATGTCTCGGTGACTGACTCCTTAGGGTGTCAAGTGAGAGAGATAAGGGGTGAGGTAGGGAAGGGGTGGATGGAAACACAGATGCTGACTTCCAGGCTAGAGTTCTCGGGGAATGGACTGGTCAAAATTTGTCCCTGAGACAGCAGGTGGCTTTCACAGTAAGAAGGTCAGCTGAGGTCTTGCTGTGTCTCCGAAGAGGATGTGGCAAAAGCAACAGGAAATTCTGCATTAGTTGCATCTCTGTCAGCTCTGGATAGGGAGGCAAGCCAACCCCTCTCTGAGCACCTGGGAGCCAGCTGCACCTCATCCCTAGGTTCCTTAGGAATCCTAAGGAACATGATTCAATCTCAGCATGAGAATTGGTGCTAAGGATTTTCCAACAACTAATAAATATTTCAGGGAAGTTCTCAGACTCTGCCACATTAAATGGGTCAATTTCTGTCTTCTTCCCAACAACACACACAGCCAGAGATGGCACTGGGGGAAAAGTGAGAAGGAAGGTCCAGGGGACCTGCTGGCACCAATGTAAACTAGGGTTATTTGGTCACTGAGGCTGTGTTTCCAGAAAGTTCTGCCACCACCCCTCACTGGCTAGGGATTTTTCTCCTGGAAACAGTGATGAGGTATAAATAAAACTCTCAAGGGAAGATAGCCCATTGGAAACAGGCAATGCAGTTGTGTGAAAATCACCAGGTGGTTCTGAAGTTGAGAGGTCAGGCTGTACAGTAGGGCTCAACCTCTCCCTCATGTATTCCAAGTTTTAAGAATGGATTATAAATACTTTGGGCTTCTCTTCTGGAGATGGGGTGCTGGAGAGTTCCATGTTGTTCACAAGAACATTCTTATCTTTCAGTCTAATGACTGTGGGCTCTGGGGTGGGAGCTGGGGTTGGGGTTGTGTTTTTGTGCATGTGGGGCAAGCTAGCGAAGCTGACATTCAGATCCTTGAAAGTATGAAGCATGAACACACCCAAGATGATGGTGACAAAGCCAGAGATGGTGCCCACAATGTCCATGGCAGACATGCTGTGCCACTCCTTGAAGAGGATGATGGAGGAGGTAACCACCACTGTGGTGAAGAACACGTAGTAGACGGGGAACACCAGGGAGGTATTGAAAATGTCCAGCGCCCTGTTGAGGAAGTTGACCTGAGTGCTGAGCGAAAGCGCCAGGATGAGGGACAGGATGTAGGGGAGGGGATGCCGCACAACGGGCAACCCCTGGAAGAAGTTCTTAATGGTGATGCCCAGTCCCTTGACGGCGGACACAGAGAAGGCCCCGATCACAGAGCAGATGATGATGTAAACCAGGATATTCCTCTGCCCATAACGTGGGGCAATAACGAAGATAAGGATGAGGCAGAACACCAACATAAGCACAGCAAACACGATGAACCCTTCAGGAGGGAAGGAAGAGAGATAACCTGAGCTTTAGATAATGCGATTCACACTAGAGCCCCATACTCATAGCAACAGGACGCAGCATTAAGTGCTTGGACTCTAGAATCAAACACAGGTTCTAGTTCTAACTTCACAACTTTTAAATAAATTGGGTAATTTTCCTCATCTGTAAAATAGAATTAATAATAGGACCTTCCTCATAGGGCTGCTTTGTGGGATTAAATGAGATGATGGACATAAAGCATTTAAAATAGTACCTGCAAATAACAAACACTTAATAAACAGCATCCATATATATCAGGCTAGGAAGCCTTTAAGCTAGCCTTGCTAACAAGTACCAGCCCACTAACTTTCTTTACCTTGTTGTCCCCCCGGCCCCGCCCACCCTAAGCTGGCAGCACCTGCGATGGTCAGAATCCAATCAGACCATTCACATGGTCCACTTCCCCCAACCCACCTCCCCTACCTCCCCCACCCCTCCCTACTCTTCCCCCCCATGCTTTCCTGCTCACAGGTGCTTGGAACCCACCTGTGTCTTTCATCTTGGAAGCCATCTCAGAGACTGTGGTGATCTTCTCTTCCTCGGGGGCGTGTATCACCATCACGGTGCTGCCAGCCACACAGATCACACAGCCCAGCTTTCCCAGCAGATTCAGAGTCTCTCCCAGGAAATACGAGGAGAGGATGGCACTGCACATGGAAATGGGATAAAGTGATTAAACAATTCATGCCTGTAGTAGGGTCATAAAGTAAAATGGAGGCTGGGCAAGCACTAACAGAGAACAACAGATCAGGACTCATTACTCTCTCACATGCAGCTTTTCTACATCTCCAAAACACGTATGAAATAGAAACTCATTTACGGGAGGGTTACAATGTGTGCTGGAGGAACAGATATGAATGTGGATTTCTTCCATATTACAGTCTGGAAGTATCCTAAAACAGAAGCGTCGGGAGGCCCCTTCAAAGTGCTCTTGTCTAACTTCTCCACTTGTCTACCCAATGACCACATTTTCTCTTAACATTGCTGACACATGATTTTCAGATTTGGCTTATACACCTCTGGTGGCAGGAACTTACCCCTTCACAAAGCAAATAAATCCATTGTAGGTTCACTATAATTATTGACCAATAATATACCAAAAACCAGTTGCTGTCGAGTTGATTCCAACTCATGGTGACCCCATGTCTGTCAGAGTAGAACTGTGCTCCACAGGGTTTTCAATGGCTGATTTTTTTTGGAAGTAGATCACCAAGCCTTTCCTTTGAAACACCTCTGGGTGGGCTCAAACCTTCAACCTTTTGGTTAGTAGTCAAGCATGTTAACCATCTGTACCAGCCAGGGACTCCAGACCAATAATATATCCCCTGATAATTTCTACTCACTGTCCCATTTCTGTTTCTTGGGTCATACTGAACAAATCAATTCCTTCTTCTATTTGTATATATCAGTATGAACAACCACACCACCACAATGACAATAATTATAGATACTATGTCTTGAGCACATATTATATAATAGGTACTGTGCTGGAAACTGAAGGAACCTTGGTGGTGCAGTGGTTAAGTGCTCAGCTACTAACCGAAAGGTCGGCAGTGTGAACCCACCAGCCACTCTGCAAGAGAAAAATGTGGCAGTCTACTTCCATAAAAGATTATAGCCTTGGAAACCCTATGGGGCAGTTCTACTCTGTCCTATAGGGTCGCTATGAGTTGGAATTAACTTGACAGCAAAGGGTTTTCAATGGGTGCTAGAAACTTTCATTTTTTATCTCACTAACATCTCACAACTCTCTAGTGAAGTAAAAAATACTATCCCCATTTTATAGAAGAAAAATGGGATTTTAGAAAAGGTAAAATAACTTGGAAAGGTCATACAACTGGTAAGTAGCAGAGCCAGGATTTGAACTCAAGCACTATCTAATTATAAAGCCTATGGTTGTTCCTCTACACCTCACTGAAGAAAAGTCTTGTGACTTCCTGAGTCTTCTCTTTTCTGGGAAAAATGCCTGCAGTTCCTTGCTGCTCCTCACCGACATCACTTTCATAACCCTCATTACCTCCAGATGAGCCAGTAGAGGTGAGGGATGAAGGGACGGAAATGAGGGAAGCCAGGTAGGATCATCAGTGCACACTTCTGTTTCTTTACAAAGGTAGCCTTGTTACAGGGCAAAGATCTGTAGGCTGACCAGGGACCCAATTAAGTTTTTTTTTTTTTAAAAAAAAAACCTGGTTAAAGGTATCAGGAGAGATGGGATTGATCTAAGTTCCCTTGTCTGTCTTCCTCTAAAGCTACCAAAAACATTTTACCCACAATGCTTTGTTCGAGAGAGTCTGACAGTATTAGCATAGGCAGGGGTCTCAGCCCCAGAGGACTCCATGCCTTTCCCAACTTCCCAGGGGTGGGAATTTGTAAACTAATCAGATATGCGATAGTGCTGTCATAGATACCTGAGATCAACCATGCCAACCGTGCAACTATGAGTCACAGTTCTATTTGTTTTTTGACTAACGTTGCAAAGTAGTCATTAAGACGGTAAAACAAAACAGAGGATGTGGCTGGCTAGGGTTTACCAGGGTTCTAAGGTTAGGCTGGAGCCCTGGTGGTGCCGTGGTTAAGAGCTTGGCTGCTAAACAAAAGGTTGGCAGTTTGAATCCACCAGCTGCTCCTTGGAAATCTTATGGGGCAGTTCTACTACGTCCTATAGGGTCACTATGAGTCAGAATCGACTCGGTGGCAATGGGTTTGGTTTGGTTTGGTTTGGTTTGGTAAGGTTAGGCTGGAATCCCTGGGTGGTGCAAATTGTTAATATGCTTGGCTGCTAACCAAAAGGTTGGAAGTTTGAGTCCACCCAGAAGTGCTTCAGAAGAAAGGCCTGACAATCTCCTTTCAAAAAATCAGCCATTGAAAACCCTCTGTAACATGTAGTACAGTTCCACTCTGACATACACAGGGTTGCCATGGGTCAGAATTGACTGACAGCAACTGGTTAAAGTTAGGCCAACGATCAGTTGGCTTCAAATAGGGCTTCAGGGACACTCAGAGAGGCTGCTCTGAGTCTGTATCTCAGGAAGGCAGTGGGAAGCACAGACATTTGGAATCGTTTACTTTTAAGGCTATCACATGTTTTTTGAATGCTTGAGAGGCAACATGGCATAGTGGCTAAGCACACAAACTTGGAATCAGACTGCCTGGGTAGGAATCCTGGCTTGGACACTTTGAACCTGGACCACATTGGCCAAGTCACTCTCTCAGCCTCAGGTCCTGCCTACTTTCTAATTCACAGGGTTGCTGTGAGGATTAAATGAGTTAATACATTGAACACATTTAGCACATAGTAAGCCCTCACTACAGCCTGCAGTATGGATTACACCTCAACATAAAAAAAAAAAAAATCCTCACAACTAGACCAATAAGCAACATCATGATAAACGGAGAAAATATTGACGTTACCAAGGATTTCGTTTTACTTGGATCCACAATCAACGCCCATGGAAGTATCAGTCAAGAAATCAAACAATGCATTGCATTGGGCAAATCTGCTGCAAAAGATCTCTTTAAAGTGTTAAAAAGCAAAGATGTCACTTTGAGAACTAAGGTGCGCCTGACCAAAGCCATGGTATTTTCAACAGCCTCGTATGCATGCAAAAGCTGAACAATGAATAAGGAAGACTAAAGAATTGATGTATTTGAATTCTGGTGTTGGTGAAGAATACTGAATATACTGTGGACTGCCAGAAGAACGAACAAATCTGTCTTGGAAAAAGTATAGCCAGAATGTTCCTTACAAACAAGGATGGCAAGACTTCATCTCACATACTCAGGACATGTTATCAGGAGGGACCAGTCCCTGGAGAAGAACATCATGCCTGATAAAGTAGGGGGTCAGCAAAAGAGAGGAAGACCCTCAATAAGATGGAATGACACAGTGGCTGCAACGATAGACTTGAACATAGCAACCACTGTGAGGATGGCACAGGACTGGGCTGTGTTTCATTCTGTTGCACAAAGGGTCAATATGAGTTAGAACTGACTCAATGGCACCTAACAACAACAACAAGCCCTCAGTATATGGTAGCCATGGTTATGTTTTGGAGCCAGTGCTATACTCTGCATTTTCTGTGCATTACCTCATTTAGTCCTTGAAACAATGCTCCCTGGTAGGTAATCATGAGTACTCTCATTCTGAAGATGGTGAAAGTAAGGCTTAGAGCAGTTAAATGACTTGACCATGGTGACATAACTTCTAGGTGGTAGAGCTAGGACTAGAACTAAGGTAGTGCTAACCCAGGGCTCATGCTCTTGATTTGTGTACTTCTCTGACTGTGGTACCAAAATACTGACATGAGACACTCAGCCTGGTGGCAGTGGAAGACCTTCCAATGGGTTTAGAACTTGGCCTATCCTGTCTCTCTATTTTCCAGTCAGTTAAGAGGATTCTGGGGTAACTAACAGCAAACAACCTAAGGGTCCAAAGCACTGAACAGTACCCTGCCACTTTCTGGGAGCCAGGAGCCAGGTCCCTGATTGCCAAGTGAGGCATTTTGACCCCCCTTGGCAGTTCCGGGCCTCAACAAACTGAGAAAAGGAAGAAGCCAAGACAGCTAGAGAGGGCATGCTAACCTTATGAGGATGCTCAGCGCTCCCAGGGGTGTGACAACTGTTGCAGGAGCAAATGCGTAGGCCCCGAAGTTGGCAGCTTCTCCAGCAGCCACTAGGAAATAAAGGGAGAAAAGATGTTACTGTGGCTCAGATGCACCAGCCCAGGTGGATCTGGGTAGAGATTCCTTCATTCTGTGTTCACCCATTTGTAGAACCCCAGACCAGCAACCCTTAAAATCCTGATCCTGATGTTCACTCCCTGGAGGGTCTGATCAGAAGGTCAGGCCTAGACTATTCTGACCTAATACTTCCATTTTAAAGATGTGACAACTAAGGCCCAAAGTCCAAGGTCACATGACAAGTTTGTGGGTAGAAGCCTTCTTGCTTTCAGGCCCCTTGGCTGCCAGTCCAGGCACATTTAAGTGTGTCTCATGGACTGCCAATGTTTTGGTCTGAATCTTTAAGGTCAGTTCTAGAAAGTGCTAATTACCAAATTAAAAAACAGTTACATTTATTGATTCTCCAAGTACCAGCTGTTCCATAGATTCCTCTTTCCCAGGGGAACTAACAGACAGTCTCAAACAAGAGGCAAGTGGTTAGCAAAGGTCTGACATTCTCAAGGGGCCTAAGTTCTCCCCGTTTGAGTTTCCAGTTTGCAAACCCGCACAGGTACCTTTTCCGTCTCTCTGCTGATAGAGAAAACCTGGGTCTCCCCTTGGAAAGTAGGTGAGGATGTGATAGCTCTGGCTCAGACTGGGATCAAAACCTGACTTAGGCATTATAAATGGAAAGTTGGCCAATTTTTCATCTGAAAAATGAGGCTTTGAAAGCCAGAGAGGGTGGGTGAAAAGTAGGGAAAATGTGTAAGTGTGCGAATTTGGGCAAATCTTAGGTGGCAGACCAGCTATCTTTTAAATGGGCCAGCAAATTGCCTGTGAGTAGGGAAGTTGGTGCTATGAGCTGGAATTGACTCGACAGCAATGGGTTTGGTGTTTTTAGGGAAGTTGGCTTAGGCATTCCAGCCTTGACCGTATTACTTAGAAATTCAAGAGACTCCAACAAGGCAGTGATGTTATTTCCCCGTGTTCAAGGAAAGTTGGGAAAACATATGCCTTTATCAGCAGCTGTGTATAAATGTTTCTGGGATAGATGCTTCATTGATGGAAGACTGACTTTGGGTTAAGAAAGTGATCTGAGATGAGGGTAAGATGTTCTACCCACAAAGACGGTCAAGGTGTTTTCCTAGGAATCTGGGCCTCAGACTCATACTTTGTACCAGTAGAGACAGAAATGCCCCATCTACCTCTCCCTTTCATCTCCACCCTTACTATCAATAGGTCACTGTCATTAGTAGCAGAGAACTCACTTACTGGTGAGAAATCCAGCCCACCACATTCCATCCTTCAGGTAGCCATAACCTCCATCCACTGTAGAAGGGAATGGACATAAAGTTAGAATTTAGCTACACTTTCTCGGGACCTTTCCTAACTCTACCTTCCCCCTTTACTCCCCAACCTCTCAATGTGCCTTGGGCTTGGTTCTAGGCCCTCTCCTGGGTGAGCTGGTTTTCAATACCATCTATATGCTTGTTCCTTATTTCCTATTTGTAGCCTGGACCAGTCTTCTAAGGCCAGGTGTGCATATCCAACTGCTCACTTGACATCTCCTCTCAGATCTCTTGCAGGCATCTCAAACTCAGTCCTAAATGCAACTCTTGATTTTAAATACTCCCCATCCAACCTCTAAATAAAATTAAAAAAAAAAAACAAAAAAAAAACCCGTTGCCGTCAAGCCAATTCCAACTCATAGCAGCCCTATAGGACAGAGTAGAACTGCCCCAAAGAGTTTCCAAGGAGTGCCTGGTGGATTCAAACTGCTGACCTTTTGGTTAGCAGCTGTAGCACTTAACCACTGTACCACCAGGGTTCCCACAAAATAAAATAAAATAGCGCTCAGTAATAGCACTTCCGTGTACCTAGTTGTTCAGGCCAGAAATGAGGGAATTACCCTTGATCCCTTCTTCTCCCCCACCCTCCACGTCCAGTCCATTCTGTTGATTCTGTCTCCAAGATACATCTCACATGTATCTACCCCACCACCACCACCCCACTCCAAGGCACCATCACCTCTGGCCTGGGTTGAGGAACAGTTTCTAAGTGGGTCCTTTGGTTCCTCTCTTGTCCTTTTATAATCCTTCGTCTCATTGCAGCTAGTGATCTTTATAAAAATGTAAATCAGATTACGCCACTTCTCAGTTTACAGTTGGCCAATGGCTTCCAATTGCTCTTAGGATAAAGACCAGAATCCTTAACATTGCCTTTCATAGTCTCGTCCTTGCTACCTCTCCAAACTGACCTTGTGCCACTCTTCTCCTTAGTTCAACCTAGTCACTCAGGCTTTCTTTAGTACATGCCTTTGTACATGCTTTTCCCTGTGTGTGGAATATTCTTCATAACAGTATTTGCCTAAAACCTACAGTCACTCTATAGGTCTCTCTGTTTGAATACTGTTTCCCTTAAGATCCCCTCTCTGACCCCATTACCTCTATTATTTCCCCTTGGAAATCTTTGTCATAAACCCAGCTCTTCTCCTTCATTGAACTTTAAAAAAAAAAAAAAAAAAATCAGTTGCTCTCAAGTCAGTTCTGACTCAGGGCAAGCCCATGTGTGTCAGAGTAGAGTTGTGCTCCATTATGTTTTCAATGGTTGATTTTTTAGGAGATCGCCAGGTTTTTTGTTTGAGGTGCCTCTGGGTGGACTCAAACCTCCAACTATAATTTGAGTTCATCTGCTTATTTCCTGGCATTTCTCTCACTAAAATGGAAGCTCCAGGAAACCAGGGACTGTGTCTGTTTTGGCACATAGTCAATACTCAATAAATATTAGCTACAATGTTGGTGATGGATGGGTTTTAGACTAAGAAATTATTTGTCGCTTTTTGAGACTGCCTATAAAAGTTAAGAACTTCGAGAGCATTTACTCTAAGAGTCGAAATCTCAGAAGACACTGAACTAGACGATTGGAGGAAGAAGCTGATTCTAGGAAAGGTGCCTTTTTGGATTGTGAAGAGAAGTTCTATTAACTCCCCTGCTAGGGGGTGACTCTGGGCTCTCCACCGAGCACAAGCAGCAGTTTCTTGGCACCTTGGGAGGTCTCTGGACTTTTTTTTTTTCTTATTTATTTTTTATTTTTTCCCATACAAAAATTTATACGTTGGTATGTGACTCTAATTGCTCTCCCCATACTGTGACAGCACACTCCTCCTTTCCACCCCTGATTCCCCATGTCCATTCAACCAGCTCCCGACCCTCTCTGCCTTCTCATCGCACCTCTGGACAGAAGCGACCCGTTTAGTCTCTTGTATCTACTTGAGCTAAGAGGCACACTCCTCACAAGTATCACTTTATGTCCCATAGTCCAGTCCAACCCCTGTCTGAAGAGCTGGCCTCAGAAATTGTTTAGTTCTGGGCTCATAGAGAATCCAGGGGCCATGCTTTCCGGGATACCTCCAGTCTTGGTCAGACCATTAAGTCTGGTCTTCTTACTAGAATTTGAGTTCTGCACCCCACCTTTCTCCTGCTCCATCAGGGACTCTCTGTTGTGTTCCCTGTCTCTGGACTTTTGAACACTTATCCATAAGTGAAGAGGAAAGAGCAACAATAACCATATTACTGCTTACTTTGTGCCAAGTTACATGTTACATGTCTTCACAACAATCCTTGAGGCTGGTACTATTTTCATCCCCATTTTATAGACAAGGAAACTGAGGAACAGAAAGAATACTTTTTCCTGCCCAGGATCACATTACTAGTAATTGAGGAGCCAGAACTGTAACCCCAATAGTCTGATTCCAAAGCCCACTATCCCACAAACACATCAAATGTACGTGTCCAAACCTGAATACATCGTCTTCCCGTAAACCTGCTCTTCCTGCCTTCATCTCAGAAAAGAGCACCATCGTCTACACGCTTGCTCAAGTCAGAAACCTGAGTCATCCTTGACTCGTTTTTACCCTCCCTGTGGAGCCTGTCAACTCCAAACCCAGTAGGTTCTACGTTCAAACTACTTATTGAATCCACCACTTCTGTCCATTCCCGTCACCATTTCCCAAGTCCAGGTTCTGTCGTCTCTCTCCTATAATTGGTCTTCCAGTCTCCAGTCTTGTCCTACAATCCATTCTCTACCCAGCAATCTTTCAAATCCTAAATTGGACTATGTCACTCCCCTGCCTAAAACCTTTCTTTCAATCACTTGCGATTGCACTCAACCTCTGAGGCACAGTTTACAAGACCCTTCATGATCTGGCTCCTACCTCATCTTTCACCTCTCCATGCTCCAGCTATCCTGAATAACTTTCAGTTTCTTGTATCACTCATGTTCCCACCTCTGAGCTTTTGCACATGCCGTTCCTTCTGCCTGGAATACTATGTCTTCCTCCCTCTCCCTTCACCTTGCCATCTCCTCACCATTTAGGTCTCAGCTTAGAGATCACCACTTATAGAAAAACCTCCTACTCCCCCAAGCCTGGGCTTTACATGCCCCCCAAGGTAATCATATAGTACTCCTTATTTCCCCCATCATAGCACTTAACCCACTACAGAACAACTGCCTATGTACTTCTCTGTCTCCCTCATTCAACATTCCATGAGGCTACGGAACCCCAATTCTCACATGGTACCTGGCACAAAGCAGGTGCACAACATATGTCGATTGAATGAATGAATCATCTTGTACATGATTCTTTTGCTCAAGAATTGTTTCATGGCTACACATTTTATTTTCCAAACAAGCAAGTCCATTGTAGACAGAGACTCAGTAATTCTTTTGTGGCTCAAAGGGGAGCTCAGTTTGAAGTGAGTGCACATTAGTGTCTGACACTGGCATGGGCATAGGTATCTGTATTCCCGTTCTGCAGAGAAGCTGTGACTTGCCAATGGTGACAGAGCTGGGAAGAAGTAAAACAAGGACTAGACCTAAAGTTTCTGATTCTTGGTCCTGTAACCTTTCCCTATCTTCACCCCAATCAGAACATCATGAAATATTGGAAACGTTGAACAATTTCTCATAAAGGAAGGTCTCCTGTTGGTGGCTGGGCTTCCCTACAGGGTTGACGATGAGCCTTTTGGACCCATCTGAGACCTCGCTCTCAAACTACTGCCCTAGCCCCTGTGAAGAAAAGCTGGCTCTGAGCTCAGCTGTCCTGTGCCCCATCCCTGCCCACTCCCAGGAGCTTACCAGCCCGAGTGGCCCCTGTGGCCACCAGTCGCAGGAGGCCTTTCTTCTTGAGGATGACGCTACTGCCGATGAGAAAGCTGGACAGGAAGGCCAGGCCCAGGCCGATGTAGAAGCCGTAGTTCTGCCTGATCCTCTCCTGCCAGGTGTGAACGGTGACATTGCTGGGTACCTCGGGGCTGAGGTCACCCACAATCTGGCACAGTACTTGTTGGGACGAGCAGTATGCGCTGATCAGGGAACCTGGATGGGAGGGCCATGGAGGAGAAAGTTACACTAGGATCCTTTGCATGCTTTAAAAATACTGGAATGGCCTCTGTTTCAGACCCCATGCTTCAGCTACTGCAGGATCTCACCCACACAATGGGCCCCAACCTAAAAATAATAGTTAACATTCTCAGAGTGCTTACTACATGCCAGGGGCCTTATATTCATAAAGTCACCAAATTCTTACAACCACCTATCAGGTAAGTACCATCTTTAATCCCCACGTGCAAGCAGAGGCATGGAGCAGCTAAGTACCTTGCCTAAGAACACACAGTCACTAAGTGGCAGAGCCTGAACTCCGAGATGTCTGACTCTAGAGCCCAGTGTGTAACCGCTGAGCTACACCAATGCCCCGCATATTCGTCAGGTTCCCCAAGCTCTCTGGCAGCTTGGAATGTAACCTCCCACCATCCACAAGAATTCCTCTCCAGCCTCCAACAGCTCCCATCACTCCCAGGGAGTCTCTCCTGCCCAGAGGCCTCTTCATTCACTTATCCCTAATTCAGTGGTTGTACAGAGGATCACTATGAGTTGGAACCAACTCCATGACACCTAATAACAACAATTCAATGGTGGAATTCTTGCCTCCCATATGCGAGACCTGGCTTCAATTCCCAACCAACACACCTCATGTGCAGCCACCACCTGTCTGTCAGTGGTGGCTTGTGTGTTGCTATGATGCTGAACAGATTTCAGCAGAGCTTCTGGACTAAGACAGACTAGGAAGAAAGGCCTGGTGATCTACTTCTGAAAATCGGACAGTGAAAGCTCTATGGGTCACAACAGTCCAATCCACAACCGATCACGGAGATGGCTCAGGACCTGACAGTGTTTTGTTCCGTTGCGCATGGGGTCAGCATGCGTCATGGCCTGACTTGACGGCAGCTAACAACAACACAATAGTGCAGCCACAGTGGAAGACTTATGACAGGTAACATGAGGGAGTGAGGTTAGACAGTTCACAGCCCCTTCTAGGCCTGAAGAAGGCTAAGAGGTAAGCCTCCTGTTTGTCAGAACTGACCATTCCCCAGACCTTGCTTCTAAGACCCCTAGTGCTTGTGGTCAGTGGCTGGGGTCTCCTTCTGGCCTTGGAGGGATCAGTGTCCCTGCCACCTCATGCAGAATCTGTCTTTAGTTTGCTCTCCAAGTCCTAGAGTCCCTGAGAGGCTGAGTAAACCCTCTTGTCCCAGAGCCATCCCCCTCTTGCTTGCCCACTGGCACAAACCACCAGTCAACCAGATGTCATCGAGCTAACTCTGACTCATGATGACCCCATGTGTGTTAGAGTAGAACTGTGCTCCATGGCGTTTTCAATGGCTGATTTTTCAGGAGCAGATCATCTGGCCTTTCTTCCAAGGCGCCTCTGGGTGGACTCCAACCTTTCAGTTAACAGCTGATCACATCAACCGTTTACACTACCCAGGGAGTCCTCTGGCACAAACGCCAAGGGTTTAGTCTCCAGACAGCAAGGACAAACCTGTGCACAAGGGGCAGATCCGCAATCAGAAACACGAAGCCACATAAATTCAATGAAATAGTACAAAGAACAGCCAATGATCCTCCAGGGATACTCCTCACATGGTCCTCTGCTCCATAACTTTCTAAGCAGATTCCTCACGATCGCTTTATGCAGTAGCTGAAGAAACTGAGGCCGTGAGAAGTTCAGTAACCTGCCTAAGGCTTCATTGGTTCTAAGTGGTGAAGCCAGAATTTGACCCTAAGCCCATCTGCCACTAAAGCCCATGAGCTTAACCACCATACCTCCTCCCCTATAAAGCAGGCAGCAAGGGGGTGGGGGGAGGCACTTAATCTGGTCCCATGAGGGTTTTTTTCTTAAATATGAATTTGTTACCAACATTTAGAAATTTGGAGGTTTGGGGCAACTCTTAAAAATGAGATCTGCTTACCTTACCGGGCATGCCCTCCCCATAACGCAATAACTGGCTAAAGCCAAGCAGCAGAGGCCCCTTAGGACATGTTTTTTGCAATTCCCCAGAGTTCTGACCCGGCTCTCTTCAGTTATTTTTGTTGTGTGCTCAGCCTCTGTAGGCATTAGACTTTGTGACCTCTGGTGGTGAAAGGTCTTTTTCAAGCTATGTGTCGTAAAGGCCAAGGCTCCTGTGCCAAGGACGTACACCGGGACCAAGCTAGAACTCCAGGCCACACTGAAAGGGCCCCGAAGTCCAAAGTCAGGCAGATTTGGCTTTGGCACATCTGAAGGGCATCGTGGCATCTTAGTGGAACAGAATAAAGGCAATGCTGACTGTTCTCCATGGCACAGAAGTTCACGAGCCCTTAGAGAGTGCCAGTCTAAACCTGTTAACTTTCATCTGGGGTAGCTGAGACCCTGAGAAGGGGAAGAAACTTGCTTGAGTCACACAAACATACCTGGTGGCAGAGCTAGGTGTGGAACTCTGTAGAGGATATATATCCATGTGCCTTCTGCAGTGGGACATCTCCTTTCCTGATACTCATGTCACAATCAAGGGGAGATGAGACAACAAGAAGCCGTCTCTGTCCCTACTCAGACTCATTCTGGGCTGCTCAGTCCTGTTCCTCCAGCTTGGGCCTCCTCACCCAAGAGCTGAATCTAGGGAGTTCCCTGAGCTCAGGAAATGAGCCAGCGCCTGGGAAGATGTGGGCCAAGAAAGGTGACTCCCGAGAGGAAGCCCAAGCCCATTCCTAAGGCCGCCCCCTGCCCTCCAGAAGGTGTGTCTCCAGCAGGCAGGGGCCAAAAGGCCTGCTGTGGTCTTGGCTGCCGCTGTGAGACCTCAGCACCAACGGAGCTCAATACCCTCCAGGGAGTCAAGTTCTCCCATAGAGGTAAAAAGAAACAGAGGGAGGGCTGATGGCAAAAGGAAATCTCATTCTGATGACGGCGCTCATCTGAAAAATGGGTGTTGGACCAGATGAGTCCCGCCTTCTCTCCCAACATGAATGTGCTAGTTCTGGGGAACACGTTCTGCCCCAAGGGAAGGGGTGGGGCTGAAAATGGCCTGTCAGGAAACCAAACCCAGCCAACACTCGACAGACAGGCCAACTTTGAAAGCATCACTGGAGCAGGGAACAAGTTAGAGAAACAGGGATCTCACACAGGCTGCAATCCCAAGATGCAGTAAGAAGATGGACATACATCAAGAAGAAAGTTGAGTGTGGTAGTAGGAGCACAGGTTTTAGAATCCAAGAGCCCTAGTTTTACACGCCGCTTCCCAGTGTGTGACCTTGACCAAACAACTGGACTTTTCAAGCCTCAGTTTTTATATCTCTAAAATGGGTATAAAAACTGGTTGCCATGGACTTGACTCCGACCCATGGCAACTAACAACAACAAAGTAATAACACCTACTACCTTCTAGCGTTGTTTTAAGGATTAAGTGAGATAATACAGTTAAAGAGCCCAGTCCACTACCTGGTTTATGGTAAGAACTCAACGTGAAGCCAAGGTCTTTACCTAAGGCTGTTTCTTTCCCTCCCTTTTCTAAAAGGTGTGTGTGGGTTTGGGGGCGGTGAGCCTCTGCACCCTTTTCCCTTCTGTCTTTGGTGGGCCCAGCGTTGATCCAGGGAGACAGCCAGACCTGGGCTAGTTCTAAAATCTGAAGTAACTATAAATAAATTTTTTTAAAAAAAGAACCTCCCAAAGCCTAGTCGGCTTGATCCCGGCAGTAGGCCTTCCTCTGCCTCCCCCTTCTGCCCCACAGTTCCCTTTCTCTCCCTTTCCCCCTTTCTCCCTCTCAACTACCCCACCTCGCCAAAATGGGCAAGATAGGGGTGAAGTCTCAGCCAGAGTCCTGCTCCTCCTCAGGATGGGCCTGGGGACTTGGAGGGGGACAACTCATGCAAACCTTCCATCTCTCAGTTTTGGAGGAAGGAAAGGAGCGGTGGGCAGGGGCAGGCGCGAAGCGAGGCGCGCGCGTGGCCCGGCTTGGGTTCCCACTCCGGTCACGGTCCCCGCCCAGGCCGGCACGCACCGTTCTCGCAGCTGGCGTTGCTGGCCGGCAGCTCCATGCGGCCCTGGGCGCACCGACCGATCTGCGGGCGGACGGCGCCCCGGGCTCCCGGCGCCGCAGCAGGTGGTCGCGACTTGTCCCCGCCGTGGCCGAGGCACGAGAAACCGCCAGGGTCCGGACTTAGGAGGTGGGGAGAATGACGCGCCCCAGAGGGGGAGGGTCTCCGGGAAGGAGTCACCCGGCGTCTTGGGCAACTCCGGGGACCGAGGACTTCGCGCACGGGCTGCCTGTGGAGAGGCGCACGCCCTACCGGGGCGCGGAGGCTGCCGGGCTACCCGCGACCAAGTCACCGCCCCGCGCCCAGGGCAGGAGGCGAGGCGGCGGATCCCCTGGCGCCGCCTCCATTCATCCCGGACTCCTGGACCGGCACCCGGTTCCGTCCCTAGGGATGAGCCCCAGGATGGCAGCAGAGGGGGCAACTTCCAGGCCGAGGTGGAAGTGGAACGCGGGGTTGGAAGGGCGTACCGCTGCCAGTTGGAGCTCTGTCGGGCTGGAGGGTCAGGGCACCTAGGATCCTTCCTTCCTCCCTTCCTCCCTTCTCCCTTCTTTCTTTCCCTCCCCTCCGTCCATCCCTTCTTCCCTCCCCTCCCTCCATCCCTTCTTCCCTCCATCCTTCCTTCCCTCCCTCCCTTTTTTCGTTCTCTCGCTTTGTCTTTTATTTATTCATTCAGCATAGGTTTGATCCGTGCTAGTCAATAATAGGATAACATACACATATCAAAAAAAAAAAAAAACAACACTAAACCCGTTGCAGTCCAGTCGATTCCAACTCATGGCAACCCTATAGGACAGAGTAGAACCACCCCACAGAATTTCCAAGGAGCACATTGTGGATTGAACTGCCTACCTTAAGACATAGCTCTTAACCACTACACCACCAGTGTTTCCGTGGTAACCTACACATAGGCGCATAATAAATGCTCAATATACATATGTCCAATGAATGGATGATAGTAGCTTGGTAAAGGAAAGAAACAATGTAATTGGAGACCAAGATGAGTCGGCTTATTCCCAGTCCCCCCAGAGCCTTATGCATTAATGAGAGAAACAAAATAGGATAGATTACTAGAGACTGGTGTTTTCCAAATCACCATTTAAGAAAAATATACATGTATATTGAAAGAATAGACTATAGATAGTAGATCATAAGCCAGGCACAATTCTAAATGCTGAAAAATTACAGTTCATTTAATCCTCATGACAACACTAGGAGCTATCAACTTATTATTGACAGAAAGGAAACTGAGGCACAGAGTAATCAAGTAACTTGCCCTGCGTCCCAGCTAGGAAGTGGGAGAGCTAGGATCAAATGCATGTTCTTACTGGCCACATTCAGCAGCCTCACACCTTAACGCTCCAACTCCTGCCTCCAGGTAGTGAGAGCACGAGATGGCCAGATAGCAGTGATCAGTTCTGACAGTGTTGCTCACTGGCCTCCTAGAGGAGGTAGCTTTTAAAAAATTGTCATGTATTGAGTCCTTACTAAGAGACACTCTGTACGAAGCTCTTCACATGTATCATCTTATTGAAGCTTCTTAGAAGGCAGATACCATTGCTACCTCCATGTTACAGAAGAGGGAAGACTGTATTTTTAAAAGCTTTTTATTATGAGATAAATTTAGACGTACAGAGAGTTAGAAAATAGTACAGAGTATACATACCCTTCACTACCTTCTTCTAACATTAACATCGTATATAGTCATACGTCGCTTAACATCTACAACACGTTCTGAGAAAGAGGACGTCATGTGATCTGGGTGTTGTGCGAACACCATATTACAGGTACTTAGCAAAGCCCTGGGGTTTTCACTATGCCAAATAACAAATGGCTTTAGCTTGTAGCCAGCAACCTTGCCTCCTAAAAACACTGTCACTCTGTCTTTAAAAGCCTTAAAGCCTGGCATTGACTTGGCTTCCTTATGGATGAAGGTCCTTTCAGGCATTCACTACCAGAATAAGGAGGTTTTGTCCATGTTAAAAATTTGCTGGGGCAAATAATCTCCCTCTACAATTAGTTTATCTAAGGTTTCAACACATTCTTGGGCTGTCTTCACATGAGCACTCACAGACTCATCACTCACTTTCACATTATGCAGTGAAAAACGGTGTTTGAAGTGCTTGAACCACCCGGAGCCAGCACTCAACTCAGTATCACAGTCCTGCTTTTTCTTTAAACATCTCGAACAAACTTCATGCCTTAGCAGCGATTGTCAGTGCACTGAGAGGTATTAGCTTTCCTGTTTGGTTCTCAATCCACATCATTAGCGATTTCTCTATATCTAATATAGAACCCTCTTGAATTTTTGTTAGCCTTATTACTTTCAGTGAAGCCGATTCTTTAACAGCTTGGAGAACTTCTTTGTTTTTGAGAATTGTCATGATTGTCGAGTGTGATATGCCTAAATTGGGAGCAATAGCATTCCTCGATTTTCCACCTTCGTGTTGTTTAATAACCTTTTGTTTCACTTCTAAATGGATGCTTCTCCTTTGCCTCTTGCTGCTGCTACCGCTAGCACTGGTTTTGCTGCATTTGGGAGCCATGATGCACTTCACGGTAATACTCTATTATAACCTTATGGGAGCACAGACATTATATGTGGTCGGACTTTGCCTGAACAGACATTATTCGGCTCATGAATGTACAGGAAAACCTGTATTTTGAACACTTTAAGAAACTTGTCCCCATGTCTCACAGCTAGTGAGTGAAGGAGCCAGGAGTATCAGGGTTACTCTGGTCCCCAAGCCTGTCCTTCCAGCCACCAGCCTCCACTGCCTACTGGCAGCCATCTAGCTAGGCCCGGAAAGATGGGTTCTCCTAGCGTGTGGCTTTGCCTAACTTGCTGGATGACATCAAACAAGTCATTTACCCTCCATGAGGATCAGTTTCCTCATCTGTCGAATAAGATGACTCTTTCTGGCTCCTTTCTGTGTATGTGAACCACGGTGGGGTGAGGACAGAGGTGGGTAGGGCAGAGGTTAGAAGGGGAAGGGACTAGCACCCAAAGGAAACCACAGGCATTGCCCACAGAACACATACAGTCCCATGGGTCTTTCAGAGTCCCAGGCCTGACCCTAACACTGGAGGCGTGTAGCACTAGAGTTCAAATGGAGACAAGTTCCTCTAAGACCAGCATGAATTGGAACACAAAGAAAAGCAAGAACTGGATGATTGGCCTTACTTGGAAATGATATTTCATTATGGAAAATGTACAATCCACAAACCTTCATCACATTCAGACTCAGTCGCTTTTGTTCCAAGGACATAGGCAAGAGATGTGGTATTTTTCTGGGGCCTGACCTTAAATCACAAGGGAGGACGTTTAGGACTACAGGTTGTGCAATGCCAGAGCTGAGCCTAGCTCTTGAGAGACAGACATACATGTGTGTTCTGTAATACATTTATTTTTGTATGTGTTTGTGACTTGGGAAGCCACTAAACTTCAGGGCCCAAAGAAGGAGCCCCCTTTCCCAGGTAAGGGCAGTACCACGTTTACTAAGTGCTTTGAGACAGGGGTTTTCAGAGTTAGGTGAATTTCATGTTTTAGGGCAGTGGGATGAGATAAGAGGATCTGGGATCGACTGCAGGGCCTTCCACACCCTCTCTAGGCCTCAGGCTCCGCATCTGTTCCAGGAGGGAGCTGGGCCTCCCAGGGCTGCCATGGGGGCATACCGAGAGGGCAGACATAAAGGGCCCCATTGAACTGCAGGCTCCTCGGCTGCTGTCCTGACAAAGCCCTTTTCTCCCCGAGCCACAATAGCCCTGTCAGGCAGGTAGCGGGGCTCGCAGCATTGTCTCCCCAGAAAAGAATAACAGGGTTCACTGTCTGTCCCAGGCTTGGTCTCTTCAGAGAGGGCGGGTGGCTTTGGAAGGGACTAACCAGCCCCGGGACAGATGAGCTCTGTCCTTAGCCAGCCAGGGACTGGTGAACCAGCCACAGCTATTTTTGGCCAATTATTCAGGGATGAGGAGGAAAACAAACTTACCAAATCCAAGTTCTAAAAGCTTGATTTTTTAAGTGCATGTTCAAACATATCATGTTGTAAAGTTGCACTGTCCAATATGGTAGCCACCAGCCACGTGTGGCTATTGAATGCCCCCAGTTGTGATGATCAAAAATGTCCCACATATTGCCAAATGTCCCAGGTGGGGAGGAATGCAAAATTGCCCCCAGTTGAAAACCACTGGTGTAAAATACATATCAGACTTCAAAGACTTAGAAAAAAAAAACAATGTAAAATATCTTATTAGTGATTTTTAAAATATTGATTATATGTCAAAATGACAACATTTTGGATACATGGGGTTAGATAAAATATACAGTATTATTGAAAGTAATTTCACCTATTTCTTTTTTTAAATTTATTTGTTGTTGTTGAGAATATACACAGCAGACCATACACAATTCAACAATCTCTGCATGTACAATTTAGTGACATTGATTACCTTCTTTGTAAAGTAGAGGACTTGAAGCACTTACTGATGAAGATCAGATACTTCAGCCTTCAGTATGGATTGCACTTCAACATAAAGAAAACAAAAATCCTCACAACTGAACCAATAAGCAACTTCACGATAAACAGAGAAAATATTGAAGTTATCAAGGATTTCCTTTTACTTAGATCTATAATCAATGCCCATGGAAGCAGCAGTCAAGACATCAAATGACATATTGCGTTGGGCAAATCTGCTGCCAAAGACCTCTTTTAAGTGTTAAAGAGCAAAGATGTCACTTTGCGGACTAAGGTGCGCCTAACCCAAGCCATGGTATTTTCTGTAACCTCGTATACATGTGAAAGCTGGACAATGAATAAGGAAGACTGAAGAATTGACGCATTTGAATTATGGTATTGGTGAAGAATATTGAATATACCATGGCCTCCCAGAAGAACGAACAAATTTGTCTTGGAAGAAGTATAGCCAGAATACTCCTTAGAAGCAAGGATGGCAAGACTTCGTCTCACGTACTTTGGACATGTTATCAGGATGGACCAGTCCCTGGAGAAGGACTTCATGCGTGGTAGAGGGTCAGTGAAAAATAGGAAGACCCTCAACGAGATGAATCGACACAGTGGCTGCAAAAATGGGCTCAAGCATAGCAATGATTGTGAGGATGGCACAGGACCAAGCAATTTTTCCTTCTGTTATACGTAGGGTCACTATGAGTCGGAACCGACTCAATGGCACCTAACAACAACAACAAGCAATTTAAAATTACATATGTGGCTCACATTGTATTTCTATTGGACAGTGCTGTTACAGAGGAATAAACTGAGGTCCAGAAAAGGAAAGTGACCAGCAGAAGGTCACAGAGCAACAGAAAGGCAGAGTCAGGGCTCCAATCTGGATTTCCAGACTGGTACCCCAGAACCAACTCCATTATT